GATATCATGTTTCTAAAATCTGGATGTAAATTTTCTTTTCTTATTATTGGATGTAAGTTTTTTAATTCATTTAATAAACCATATAAAATATGATCACATCTTTCCTCCTTAAAATAAATCAGTAAAATATTGAAGATTTCTAAGTTCATTATTTTTTTAATTTTTAATATTGAAGATTTCGAGCTCACAGTGTATCACTAGGTTGAGGTACAGATTATGGGATCATTTTCCTTGTGCTACTGTCGAGTTTCTCTGCTATGTTCTTGGTTAGTGATGCTTCTTTTCTCTACTCGGTTCTGATTGTTGCTCTGTTCTCGTAAATGACGTTCAAGTGTTGCTAATGAACGGAAGAAATCAGGTCGCCGGAATTGGTGGTGCTGGTCATCAGCTGGAACTGACGCAGATTCTATTCTTTTTTCTTTATTTCGAATGGTGCTTTGTCTTCTTTTGTTTCCTTGCTCAGCTGTGAATTTCATCTTCTCCCTGTTCTGTTGGAAGTCTCTTGATCTCTCCCTCTTTCGCTGTTAGTGGTGATTAAGGTGAGGATTTTTTGAGCTTCCTCCCTTGTTGAGACGTGTGAGAGGGGGTGTGAGTTGACGATTTAAATTATAGAATTCTTTGACAGAATTCTGCTGCTGCCCGTGCGTGTAGGAAGAAGGTTCAAATTTGAGCTGAAAATTTGACTTAAAGCTTAATAATGACATACATATGGATCATAATTTTGAAATTAAATTAATATTGTCGAATTGGTTGATATTAAATAATTTATTGAGGTGAAATTGAAAAAGAATAGCTTAAATATATAACTTAAATATTGGTGTGTATGAGATGTTTGTTAAAGATTTATAAGAAAAAATTGAACTTAATTTTTAAATATTTATGGAAATTATTTATTTAGGGATTAACCTATAAATTTATAAAGAAATTTGATTATTGACTTGTGTGTAGCTATTTGAATACTTAAAACTTGTTTGAAAAATTGTTGAATGTTTTAAATTGAAGAAATAGAAGAAATACACCTAAGGTATTTGGTGCAAGAATTGAGAGAAAATTATGTTGCAAGAAAATAGATTGACATGATTAAAATAAATTGGAGGAAACTAGTAATATGAAGAATAATATTTAGACCAACTCTAAAAGCATGAATGTTGGTTTGGTTTAAATGATGATAGTTGGTTAAGACTGTGTAATAAAAAAATTATTAAAATTGTATTTATTTATATAGTTATGGAATGTGTGGAAAAACAAGATCCTAACAAGAATTAAAGGAAAAATTTTTGTGAGAATTTAGAACTCTAATGAGCAAATGAACAACATTCCATTTAATTATTTATTAATAGTTTTTTATTGTAAGATTTTATTTTTATGAATTATTTTAGTTTTAGAAATTATGGAACAGTGATGAAGGATAATTAAATTATAGTATATGCATTTATTTTTCCTCAAGAAATATATTTCAAATATAAGTGACAATATCTTTGTTTATTGAACTTCAATATTTCTTGGCTACACAATAATGCAAGTTTGCACGCTCTGAAGTATTAATTTGACAAACTTTGAGATTTGAAACAATTCATGCGAGTTTGATATTGAAAATAAAAATTTTATTTTAAAAAAATAATTATTTTTCTTGCATGTTTGAAACATGATTTCTATGGGAATTTTATATATAACACTGATTGTTAATGGTAGTTCCGTTAGCCCTCGGCGCCTTAGTTAATGATTAGTTAATTTGAATTTCGTGACCCTTATTCTCACGTTTGTTATTCGTGGGTATTATACCTACATTTGATTTCGTGGTTTCTAGCCGCGTTTGGTTTGTATTATCCTTGTGGATTATGTGTCCATGTTTGTTTCATAGCTTCAGTTGCATTTGGTTATTTATCTCACTAATTGTGTGTTCACGTTTATTTTTAAGGCATAAGCCGCACTCAGTTATTTACCTTTATGGATTGTATGTCCACATTTATTATCTATTTTATTAAGTTCTCATCATTTTATATTGGATCAATTTATATATTTGAAATTTAATAGGTTCAATTATTAGTGTGCTGTGTTGATTCATATATGTATAGGGGTAAAGGTGCAAATTTACTTTGAAACTTTTCTTCTAAGGGCGCCTGGTATTCTAAACTTTTTTTGGGAGCAATATTGCCCAAAACTCTTCAAAATGGTGCAATGTTGCTTTGTGTCAGAGTTGACCATTTGTTGACTATTTTGTCTGACTGGACTTGCCACGTGGCATTTTTTTAAAATTAAAAAAATGATAAAAGTACAAATTTACCCCGAAACTTTTCCTCTAAGGGCACTTAGTATCCTCAATTTTTTTAGGAGCAATAATGTTGCCTTTACCATTTTGTTTGACTTCACTTGCCATATAGTATTATTTAAAACTAAAATAAAATAAAATAATGCTTCGTCCTTATCAGCTTCTTCTTCATCTATGACATTGAAAATGCAAAATAACTTAGAATACTAAGATCAAAAATTAAACTCAAATTTTCAACATTAAAAAACAATCAAGAAAAACAATCAAACATAAATTTTTAACATCAAAAAACAATTAAAGATAGGGGGTAGAAAGGAAGAAAATAAAGAACATAATTCAAGAATTTAACAATTCAAAAATAGCTCAAAATGTCCAAAACAACAAGAATAAAAAATTAACAACTTAGATTAACTAATACCAAGTAAGGAAAAGTAACAACTCAACAGGAGCTTCTCATTTAGCTCTTGTCATGCAAATGTTGACGATAGAGGAGGGAGGAATGAAGAGAAGAAGAATGGCTGACTTTGAAGGAGGGGGAGGGATGTACAATTGAGACACAACGAGGGAGAGGACATCATTTTTTTAATTTGTTTAAAAATGCCATGTGGCTACCATGTGGCAAGTGGAGTCAACAAAATAGTCAACTCTAACAGTAAGGCAACATTGCACCATTTTAGAGAGTTTCAGGACAACATTGCTTCCAAAAAAAAAAGTTGAGGATAGTAGGTGCCTTGGGAGGAAAAATTTCAAGGTAAATTTGCACTTTTACCATTTTTTTAATTTTTAAAGAATGCCACATGGCAAGTTTAATCAAACAAAATGATCAACAAATAGTCAACTTTAACGGCAAGGTAACATTACACCATTTTGGAGAATTTTAGGGCAACATTGCTCCCATAAAAAGTTTAGAATTTCAGGTGCTCTTGGAGGAAAAATTTTAAAGTAAATTTGTACTTTTATCCTATGTATAAATCATTCATCTCCTACCATGTTGGAATAAAGTGTTTTAGTTACTCTCATTTTTATGGTTATAAATAAGATTATACATTTATTGAGTAGATCATATTGAATTCTCATCTTTTTAACTAATTTACACAATAGATTGAATTTATTGTTTATTTTTTTATTTATTTAATTTTATTTTTGGGATGCTAAAAGAGCAATACAATTATACTGGGTGAAAATTTTGCTTGGTATTATTACCTTTGATGTAAATATTTTAGACTCATGTATTTTAATTTAGAAGAAAAATTAGTTGCTCCACATAGGTTGTTCTTAAGACTTTATTTTGATTTATATATTGTTTGTTGGTTGAAAGACGCCGAGCTCTTGACTTATTTGTTCTTTTGACTAAATCAGTGTATTGTAAAAATTTTGAGAGATTCTATTTATAAGGAGATTCTATTAAAATTTCTACGAATATATTAAAACTTTGTTATAATTATTAGTATCAAAAGTATTATAATTTCAATATAAATTTGATTACATTTTAAAAATAGAATAAATTTACTATTTGAGGCTTACGGGGTTGTGTGACAGGTTCACATCTCGTGCCACCTACTCTCTATTTTCGGGACATGACACTAGTTGTAACAAATTAAAGTCTATATGAAATTGTGATGGATTTCTTATAATCGTTGGGGGGGGGTTGAATTCATATATTCTGTAATTAGATTTTGTAAATTGACAAAAAAAAATTAAAAATGACTCAGAACGATGACATTACAAAATTTAGATCATATAATCTTAAAGATATGATTATTTTAAGAATATCTTCTAACTTAATTTCAGAAAAATTGACTAGAAATTTAAATTTACAAAAAGATATCATGTTTCTAAAATCTGGATGTAAGTTTTCTTTTTTTTTTTATTATTGGATGTAAGTTTTTTAATTCATTTAATAAACCATATAAAATATGATCACATCTTTCCTCCTTAAAATAAATAAGTAAAATATTGAAGATTTCTAAATTCATTATTTTTTAATTTTCAATATCTAGATGAGTAGGATGTAATTTTTCTTTTTCAAGAAAAGCTCCCTAAGAGATATGATTATTTACGTAGACCCCATGATATTATCTTAAACTGATTGTTAATTAAGAATCACTTCTTCTTTTTTTTTTTTGGGTTATATGATTGAATCAATTCTATCAATTCATTCAGTTAAATAAGTGAAATTTTTTGATCAAATTGAATGATTCAAATTCCTATTCATAAATTATAATTATAACTATATTATAACAATGAAAATTTAAATTTGGATTTACATTTGATCAAATCCAAATCCACTTTTTATTATAATTTATTTTTAATTTCAAATTCTCTCTACTTTCCATCCTAGTTATTTAAAACTGAAATTTTAACAACCACGATTTTCTCATCCTCTTCAAGTTTTCACTGTGACTGCTCTTAACACCCCTGCTTCTTCTCATCTTGGTTGGTAAACTTGTCACTTTCAATATTTTATTTTTGCTTCTAATTTCAACTCGTTTCTATTTTTTCCTTTAAAATTTTTTATATTATCCAAACAAAAAATTTGAAATTTGAAATTTTAAATTTAAAATCCAAATCCAAATCTATCAACTTAAACACAATCTTATCTTATATGGTTTTTGGCTTTCTAAGGTTTGGCTGCCATTCTGTGACCACAGCCACTTTGCTTGGCTTCTCTATCGTTCTCTTTGTCATCCTGACTTTCTGAGAGAAGGATCACGACGGCATAACTATGATTATGGCGAATTCAATGTCAGACCCGTTAAAATTAGTGAAACTGGAGAGAGATAGTATCAGTAACTTACCAGACTCTTTGCTTCACCATATCCTCACGTTTCTTCAAACTAGAGAAGCCGTTGCCACAAGCCTCTTGTCCAAGAGATGGAGACCACTTTGGCTTTCAATGCCCACTTTTGATTTTGATTGTAGAAACTTTCATAGTCTTGACTCGTTCACTCAGTTTGTAGACGCAGTCTTGTCAATGACTGATTCGAAGACTACTATAGAAAAGTTCAGGCTCAGATGTGAGAGCTGCTATCAATGGGTTAGAGAAGGAGTCAAGTACTATAACATGCTTCCCAATACTAAGATTAATATTTGGATTAACACAGCGCTAAATCGCAGAGTTGATCATCTTGAACTACGTTTTAGCAGTTGGGATAAGTTCATTGACTTGCCCCCAAGAACTTTTAATTGCAGTACCATTAGGGTTTTAAAGTTGCATGGGGTTAAAGTGGATAATCCTTATTCTATCAATTTGCCTTTGCTTAAAGTCATGCATATGTTGGAAGTTGAAATTTCAAATTTTGAATTCTTGACAAATCTCCTTTCAAGTTGTGCTCTTCTTGAAGAATTGGTATTAGATTTTTTTATAAATGACGAGGACGATGTTGATGTTGATGATGATGTGCCGTTATTAAATGTTGACAAGCTTGAACATCTGGTTTCGGCAAATATTCCTTCCCATCTGTTTACGTGGAAGGCATTTACTAATGTGACCTTTCTTTCATTAATGACGGTATGAATGATTCTTATCTATATCATTATTTTTCAATCTATATCTCTACTTTTATTACATAATTAAGCTTAGTCCTCATCATGCAGTATACAGCGTCTGGCAATGATTATTTTCCAAGATTTGACCATTTAACCCACTTGGAATTTGAATGTCTTTATGATGAAGACTTGAATTGGATAGTGGAAGTCCTACCTAACTGCCCCAAACTTGAAATTCTTGATATTGATGAGGTTAATTTCTTAATTTCAACTTTGATTGAGTGTGCATTACTTTTAATATATAGGTTGTTTCTAATTTTTCATATTCCTATGATCAGATTGAAGTTAATCCCAAAAGGCTTGGAAGGATAATGGAACCAATAGTGAAGGTTCCTCAATGTATTTCATCACAGCTAAAGGAATTCATTCTTGGTGCATACGATGGCTCTGAATGTGAGTTTGAATTTGTAAGATTTATTATGAAGAATGCAAGAGTTTTGAGAACAATCTCAATTTTCAGTTGCAGTTCTGAAGATAAGAAGTATGATCAAATGCTCAAAAGATTATCCTCGTGCCCTAGAGGTTCTGAGAATTGCAGACTTTTGTTTGATGAAGTCTCCTTAGATGCAAGTGTTTGAGATAATTTTAATTTTCATATTTCGTGTATCTTAAAGTAATAGAAGTCATGATTTTCTTAGCATATATCTCACAAAAGTTGGTATATAATATATATGATTAAAATTTAGTGCTCGTTAAGGTTGGATGTCTAAGAAAAATATCATTTTTATGTGTGTGGTTGAAGATGATAGATGCTTGATATTCGATCCTCTTTCCAATCCTATTTATAAAGGTAAAGATAGATTTTTTTTTTTTTCAGTTCTAAGCAAGTACGATTAACTTTTTGTCACTAGTTTTTAAATTTACTTCTTTTAAATATTTTTACAAGAAAGTATTTTACTAAAGCATGGATACTTCAAATGGAATATATATTTTTTGTTCTATGCCTATGATGAAAGCTAAGATGATCAAAACTTAAAGATAAGTCTGAGAACCCAAGAAGCTAGGGGTGAGCATCAGTTTGATGTTAAATTTTCCAAAACCAATTAACTAAATTACATAAAATATTTGGACCGAATTGAACCAAAATGCTTGATCAAATTGAAATACAACCAAACTGAGATACAATAGTTTAGTTTTCTCAATCTATTTGATTTATAGGTTCTAAATGCATAAAATCAACAAAACATTCAAACAATGCCAAACATTCGAAAAGGAATATATTCAGTAAGCCACTATTGCAAGGCATTTAAAAATTGAAGAAATCAAAGGCAAAAATCAAGGCTTGTGGAAACCAAACATTAAATTAAATCAGCAAAACATTCAAACATGAAATGTAAAATAAAAAAAAATTCATTAAGGCACAAAGAAACCCAAATGACAAATCATAGAGCTGCAAAGGCAATGAAGTCTCCAAGAGCTGAAGCGTAACAACTCAATGAGAAAGGGAGAGAGGGCAAGATTGAAGAAGAAAAGTATATGAGAGGTAAGAGATATGGTGAGTTAATCATTATTGAATTGGTAGAGATCAGTGGTATTGGAGCAGGAGATTGTGGCGGTGAGGGCGTAAGAGCTCGTTGGTAGTGTGGGCCATAATCTAGCGGAAGGGACTCATCGACATCATTGAGAGGAGTGGCCGTCGACTAGAGAGGGGTGAATGAGAAAGAGAACCAGAGAGCAAGAGAGGTTATAAGGAAAGGGAGAACGCAGAAGAGGGAGTGAAAATGTGGGGAATGAGGATTAAGGTTTCATATATTCTTATTAGTTAGTTTATATATTTATAAATTTACTTTTTTAAGTATAACATTAAAAAGAATAAAATAGACTAAAGTAATTAATAAGCTATATATAGTTTATAAATTATTAGTATTATTATTATATATATAGATATATATGATAATTCGGTCCGTCTATTCAATTTAAACTTATTAACTGAATTGAACTGATCAAATTTTCCTCTTTAAAAATTGAATTGAATTGAAAAATCAAATAGATCAAACCAAGCAAACAAAATTTAATTTAATTTAGTTTGATTTTCAATTTCAATTGGATTTTGCTCACCCTTACAACAAGCTGTAGCATCTAGATGTTGGAGGCATCAAAATCATGGAGATGGAAAAACTGAAACTTCTGCTCATCTTAGCTTTCTTCATAGGCATAGTCACATCGTTTTTGTTCGTGGCTTTTGATTTAAATTAATTTTTAAGTCAAATAACTAAAGTGACCTTAATAATTATGTTAAGTAGGGCAGATTCACATTCTCTTCCTTCATTTCTATATATTAAAGGCATTTTAGTCATGATTTTCATATTTATTTGATCCTAATTTTTATTTAAGTCACATCCATGGTCTTAATATGAAATTCTCCTTTTTTTTCATAGAATTTGAAAAATTCAAATCTAAACTAGGAAAAATGACTTGAGGAAAAAAAAAGGAAAATCAAATAAACATAATATGATTCTAATTATATTAATTAAATTAAAATAATAAGATTAAAAATATAATTTATTAATTTTAATTGAAAAAATATTACAGTAACTAATTATCATTATCATGATTTCTCACCCATGAACATGATTTACTTTAGAGATACAATTCTCCTTATTATAAAATATTCGATCAAATATCATATCATTTAGGCGTATCTGTTTCTTCGGCTGTTGCCTTCTGAATTGATAACAATATGCTTTGGTCCAAAAAACAAATTTGGGGGTATCTTTTGAGGAAAATCAAAGATTTTATTCCAAACCATGAAAAATCCATCCCCTTCTTTTCGCTGAAGAAAACTCAATCCCTTTTAGAGTTCTGCCGTCTACTTGACTTTTGGGAAAATAAAGATGAAGGACCTGAGAAAATTTATATTAGTCAAGTATTAGTTATTGTCAAAATTTAAATAAAAAAACTAATTAAACTATTATTAATTTAAAATAAGTTGTTAAAACCTGAATGAATACTTACTAATAAAATACTAACATGAATGTATCTATTTGAGTTTTGATAACAAATAATTAATGACTGATATAAATTTCCTCCAATGATTCTTGATTAATATTTTCTCTTGATTTTTTTTTGAGGCATTCATACAAAATTTATAATGTACTTAACCTGAGTAGTTAAAAAAGAAAACCTAATTAAGTATATAGTTAATTACAAAAATTCTGTGAAAAGTTGAAAAGCAGAGTTAACTGCGCTCACGTTTCTTTCATTTCCGAAGAGCTTGGAATATAAGAATAATCAACATTCAAATAAACAAACGAAAAGAAGCAATGGTGTACAGGAAGTACAATAATATTATTGATATGTTGATTATTTCATAGACGATGATGTTGATACCAAGATATATGTCATCGATTTAAATGAGCGATTGGGAACCCAAATGACACTGCTATGCCTGTGAAGAAAGCTAATAAGAAGATGAGCCGAAGTTTCAGCTTGTCCATCTTTCTGATCTTGAAGCTGCTCACACGTTTAGGGCCTCGAAAAGGTCATCTTCTTCCACCACAAGTAACTGATTATATTCTTGGCCAGAAATTGCAGCTTCCATGATATCTTTGGGGCTAATGATGACACCACCATCATCATCATCTAAGAACAATTTAAACATATTCTTTGAAAACCCACTTACCAGTGCCACACCTTCTTGATTACTTTGCACCGGTGTTGCCCTAGACACTCTCAGATTCCAAAAACTATCTGAGGCACAGCGTTTTCATACCCCTTTTCTCTGAACTTTCTCCTAATAGCTTCATAATCAGTTTCCAAAACATCTTCTGATTTCCGTTCGCCATCAAATTCCATGTCACTGAAAACAAACAACCTCTTAATCATTTGGTCCTCTTTTAGATTCCCATTCACAGCCACCTCTAATATTGTATCAAACACCTTCTGAAAACTAAGGCTCATTGTTCTCCTTCCCCCCCGCCAGAAATCATCAGGGTTTATTAGATTTCCCACCCTCAAGAACTTTGTCTTGGACATCAGGTCTTCTTTTTCTATCAAATGTAGCTGTGGGTTCTGATTATAACCAAATGTGATTAGCTTCCCCTTCCATGGCTCTTCACTCATTTCAGATACCAATAGTCCCAATGCCACAGGCATTCTTCCCATTCTTGTTGACACATCACAGATGGCCAAGCTGTTCCTCATCTTACCTTTAGTGACCAAGTCTTCCACCATTCTCTTCCTCTGCAACTCTTCCACCCAGCCATGGCGGGGAATCAATTTACCGGCGGCGATCGTGGACTTGCCGGATTCAACAGCTTTCAGATACCTTTTAAATCCCTTCCTGTCGTGCCGCATAAACTTGCCTTTGTATCGTTTCATCGCCAGTGAGGAAACCTTGTTGTATGGAATTAAACGCCATTGATTGGCTCCCATGTATATCTCTGGTAGCTCTAGAGCTTTCCTCAGTGGAACCAGAATTTACTTTCTTAAACGGTCACGAATCCTGTAAGCATAATGGGCTTCTTCTAGGCCGTGATATTCAGGATACGATTCTCGAGGGAAGATTCTTCTTGCGATGCTTTCACAGAGAAGTGTAGAGCGATCGAATGAGGAATCAAGAGAGGGACACCATTTGGCTGCGAGGCTGATCTTTTCCCATTCACCGCGTCTCAGAAATTCTATATCAGCCTTTAAACATTCAGCAAAATGATCGGAGATGCAATCGTACAGGAAGCGAAAGTGGGGATAACTTCGATATGTCTTCACGAGTTTCTCAGCCATGGCTAATCTCTTTTCTTCTCTGGTCACTATTTTCTTGTACTTTTCACACCTTATGCTGAAGAGCTTCTCCCACATTTTGCTGATTCCTTTTCTTCTGTGCCAATCTTGTTTTTGAACCTTTCGCACATCAAGACCTTCCAAGATTCTGTAAAGAATCTCAGGCAAGTCCTTGAAGCAGCCAAACTTCGGCAAAGAAGGGACGTTGAACGCGAGGGTTTTGGGATGATGAGTGTGAAGCCAAATGGCGGCGGCGTAAAACCCTTCCTTGTCGGCTTTTCCAGTTCCTCGGACTCCCCGGAGGTTGAAGATGAGCTTGAGGGTGGTGAGTGGATCATGGGACCAAGCTAAGTGAAGCCTTTGAGTCAAAGAAGAAGGAGGAGTATCAGGAACGACGTGAAAGAAGAAATCAAGACATGGATCGCCGGTGGAGAGGAAGGTGGGAGAATAATTCTCGGTGAAGGCCTTATTCTTGGTTTTGTTAAATTCGGCCAAGTAGTCGGAGTTGTAGATCTCAGGAGGACCCAGAAGAATAGCCATGTGATCGTCCGACGACTGTGAGATGATGAAACCAACGAGGAAGAGAGAATGAACGAATAGGCTTTTATTGCTGAAACCTGAAAGCTTTGCTTCGGCACCAAGACACTTGAAGTTAAAACAATTAATTAATTTAAAACCAGAGGAATAGCCATTTCAATATGTGTGATTCTAATTTCTTTTACCAGAAATATGGACTTTCTAATTAATGAAAATAAATACTCCCTTTGATTAAATCATTTTTAATTAAATCTCACCTTTTAATTAAATAGTTATTTATTTTTAAACTAACTCTATTTTTATATATTTATTTTTATTAAACACCTTACAATAAATATAAAATTATTTATTAAAAGGGATATGTTTGGATAAAAAAGCAATAATTATACTTCGAAAGATTAAAAATATCTTATATTATATTTTTAACATCTAACTCCTCAAAAAATATCTTATATTTTTGAATGGAGAAAGTACCTATGTTATTCTAATTTTTGAAGTTAGAATGAAAAATAAAATCTGGTATGATTTTATGGGTTCTCCTAAATGATAAGTTGGAATTGGTTTCGGTGCTCATCCTAAGATGAGGACCATGGTGCTCAGCACCAAAAACACTACTGTTTGGCATTGTTTTTTTTTTTAAATCACAAACTCATTATAATAATTAATAAATATTATAAAATTTTTATTTTAACGTTTAATAAAAAATTAAATACTAAGATGATAAAATTAAATTAGAGTAGCTCAAATTAAATTTTTAATTTAAATAGTTTAGAATTATACTGAAAAAATATTATGAGTTTGTGATTTAAAAAAAAAAAAAAAAAACATTGCCAAATGACAGTATTTTGGTCCTAAGCACCACGACGCATGAGCGCCGAAACTGAGCCCATGACAAGGTATAGATACGTTTTTTTTTTCCCGCCCCCCTTAAATACGACGAGAGAAATCCAATTTAAACAAGCAAATTAATTAAAGTTGAATATATATATATATATATACATAATTTTATTCTATTTATTTAAATTAATTTAATTTAAAACATGAAAACTTCGTTAAGCATATTTTTCTGCTGCATTAATATTAAAAGACCTGATATATCGTGGAAGAAATAGAAATAGAATTAATAGATTTAACTAGTAATTACTATAATTGTGTACTTTCTCTTTTGGTGAGCTGCTTCTGATACAAATTTAAAAGTCACAAAATAATTCGGATTAAAATTTCAAATGTACATAATTAACCATTTGGAAAAAATGGGAAAATGCAATCCATCTATATATATATATATATATAATTAGGATGTCAAAGCACACGTGTCAACACATTGTCAGCGCATTTGAGGATTAATTTATTCTTAGTTAATTCCTCATACATGCCAAGTCATATCAATATATTTTACATATTAAATTATTTTAAAAGTCAATTTATATTTTAAAATTTAAAAGACTCGTATGATAATTTAACAAAATATAAAGAACTAAATTGATAAAAATTAAACTTCTAGAACCAAATTGATAATTGAAACAAATTTGAGAGATTAAATGTGTCATTATCCATATTTACATTATATAAAAAATATAGGACAAATTACATATAAATCCCATGGAAGCAATTTATTTAAAAATAAATTTTGTAAAATTTAAAAACTATAGGTAGGTCTGTTGGAACATAGTTAAGTGTAATTTAAAGTTGGAGTGAAAAATATTACTACCCTTATTTATTAGGTTACAATGACAAAGATGCCCCTCCATCTAAATTAAATAGTAACCTCGCACTTTTCATCAGTCTGTCACACTATCGGATGCATTGTTCTCCTTCATCATTATGCATATTGCTCACTTTGTTCACATCGCTCGCTCTCTTGGAATGTTAAGGCAAAATTCATGATCCTTCATCACAATCAATTGTGATCAACACTAATACTTCTTTTTGTTTTTATAATTGTTTTAATGTTAAAGGCTTTATCTGAATGAATTGTTAAGATTTCATTATTTAATTTAAGTTTTATATACTTTAAGTTTTAGTTTTCATTATCCAGTATTTAGACTTCCTATAGACAACAATTTTTCTACAGACAACTGTAAAAATGTTGCCTAAAATACAAATAGAGGACAATTTTTAAAAGTAACTATTGATATCTATTTTTGGATATAACTATTAAACAATCATTTGAAACTGTTGCCTATTATAATATTAGCAATAATTTTAACCTGTAGCATTTTATTTTTTAAATAAATGACAAGTAAAAACTATAGCCTATGTAATATATTTTTTTCAACTATTTAGTAACTCTTTGGTAAAAAAAAAAAAAACCATTTATTAACTGTTTCATGTAGCGTTGAACGACAGCGTTTTCCTCACTTCTTTCGCTCCCCCCATCCTCGTTGTCTTCACAACGCAGAAGCAGAACCACATATACCAGAGATGCAAGATGTAGCCCTAGCCTCCCCCGTGCCCTTGAGTTCTCGCGTCTACCCTTTGCCACATTTTCCATGAAGGTCCGTCGTCAATGTAGATTTCTTCACCGTCAATCGAGATTTCTGTCCTCCGCTGTTGAACGAGTTCTCGCTCTGCCTCTGATTCCCGTCGCTCATGGATAGCCTCTAATTCACCTCTATCTCTGATTCGTGTTGCTCATAGGTACAGCCTTTTCTGCTACGCCTTTTCTCGTGGTTCTTATGTGTTTACAACTTCATCATATTGCTTGAGCTGTTATTTGGTTTTTGATTCAGCAACTAATTTCAATGTTTGTAGTTGAACTGATATAAACATGGTTCTGATTCTGAGGGTTTTGCAAAATTAAGAATTAAAAATGGAGTGTGAAGTAGAAGCAGTGTTGAGAAGAAGACAAGGATGATGGAAAGATAAGAAGCAGAATTTAGTTTCTCGAAATTACAGAGTTTTGTGAATGTTCTGTCAATATGTGTTGCTCTGTTCGTTCATTTTTAAATTTGAGAAGAGAAATCTGAAGCTGGAAGTTACTCATTTGGAAAAGGCTAAGGAACTTTATATCAAAGTATGGCTTTTTTATCTTCGTAACTGTCCCTTTAAGAGTTATTCTCTACAATGTCTAAAATTATAATTTTCTCAGCATTTGTTCTCGAAAGTGAGATCTGATTCCTTTGATAGTGGGTTTTGCTCATCTTAAAACTATAACTAATTGTTTTGCTTCTAGTTGTAGTTCAAGGCAGCATGCTCACACATTTACACAGTTTTGGAATTAGATACTGATATGAATTTTCAATTAATACCTTGCAAGTGTCATATGGCGCTACGTACCTTGCCTTTTATTTGATATTTGCTATATGTGAGATGAGGCAACGATTGGGAGATCACAGAGGCGTGGGCCTAAAGGCAGCTTCATAGGTCAGCCATAAAGTTAAATAAGCATTAAGTCAATCACAAGGTTTTAATTCAGCTTCTTAGAGTTTTTGTTATTCGAGCTTTTTTATGTGCCAAGTGCCAGATCCCTTTTCTTTTCTTTCTTTTCTTTTTTGGCAAAAGTGTTTGTGTCAATTCTATTAAACTATGTGCGTGCTACCTTAAAATTTGTTAACTGATTATAATTGTTGTGCAACATGTATGTAGCATGTTTATACGGAGTTGACTAGAGTGGAAGGGTGCTCCGCCAATTTACCATGAAAGGTTTTTTTTCTATCTATCCATCTCACCTTTTTGTTCTTGTTTAACATTGAGCTTCATATGGATCATAGTTGCCTTTGATTTTTTTTTTTAATCTTTTTTCTGAGTTCATTTGGTTGGAGAGTATGGCATGGTGATCTGATAATGTTTTCTAATTTACCTCCTTTTTTTAAACTATAGCAACTCTTTTTTTCTTTCTTTCTTTCTTTTTGAGCCAAAACTATAGCAACTCTGTATTAGCAAAAGATGAACTATTTTTAAAGTGAACAGTGAAGTTCAAAATTCAATTAGGATGAGTTTTCTTAATATGTTTGTAGAATAAAGAGTGATATTTATTTATTTTAAGTAAGCCATTGAAGCTGAGGTGATGAGATTTCGCAACTATTTGAAGGATTGAATGTAGTGTATATGAACTGAAATTCCACGCAGGGAATTGCTGAGAGAGCAGCCAAGCGACTTATTGAAACTTTCCTCAGACAAAACTCTAGTGGAGGAAATTGAAGTGTAACAGTGCTGCAAAAACATAAAGTAATGTTCCTACCCTTTGCACTTAAATCTTGATGCATAAAAAAATATTCTTGGTTTTTATTGGTTATGCTTAGCGTTGAACATTCTTGTTTTCATTGGTTCTTTTTTTGTGCTTTAAGTGGACTGTTTTGAACCTTTCATTTGGTTAAGAAGTCCTGTATTTAATTTCCATTTGAATTGAATTTTGTAGTGGGTATTTATTTATTTTTTTCATGCTTGTCAGATTATATTTGTCTTCAAAACATAACAGGAATTTTTTTTTTTTTTTTCACTGAATAGACTTTCCAGACACTAGCATATTTGTGTTCTCATTTTCCCTTTTCTTTTCACTATCAGAATTGCTAATGAAAGAATTGAATTAATGTGTTGTAATTAACAAGACCAAACTTAACAAGGTTAATATGGATTAAGATTGAGCATAATGCTTTTAGGTAAATATGGATTATTTTCCTTTGGCCAAAGGTTTAACATATTTATTGGATTGTGTAGAAATTGATCCAAAATTCATTAACATATTTTTTTTATGGAGTGAAACAAGTTTGCCTTCCTCTATTATGAATTTATACTTGCAAGCTTATTATTATTATTTTTTAATATCATGAGGCAAGATTTTTTATTTGATACAATATTTTATATTTTTCTCATGTAGGAAGGTGGTTCTAACTAAAGAGATTTAAATGAGGAGCTCTAACAAAATAGTTGAAGAGATATCAATGAGGGTTTCCATTTACTTTGATATACAGACTTGCTTTCAATGTAATGTAGTGCTATTGTCATACTTACATTGTTCTATATATCCATTTGATCAAACCAAATTCTCTTTAGTGTGGCTGCGTATAAGCACATGGATTCATGTTCAAAAGTTTATGCACTTCACTATGTACAATATAATTATTATTGATTGTATTTCAATGCTACAACTGACCACTTAATCATGCTTCTTGAATTATGTTTTTGTTATATATATTTATTTACCATGACAATTGATATTTGACACATTTTTTTTAAATTAATGCTACATTTAGAAATTGATGCCATTGATATTTTATTAAGCAATAATTATTAATTATACTCTAAATAGATTTACATTTATAATTCAAAACTGTTGCGTATAGGACATTTAGGATACAGTTGTTAAATATAGCAACTTTAAGTAACATTTCAAAACCGTTGCTTATAGTTAGCTAATAATTGTAGCTTATTTTATGTTGCCATAGATTTTTGGATACACTAGTTTAGGTAACAATTAAAAGATGTTGCTTAAAATTATAGGCAAAAGTTCTCGCTACATTTTTTAAATGTTGTTAGAAGGTAAAAATGTTGTAGTTATAAAAGTTGCTGGGGACAGGGTAATGGAAAAGAGATATGATAGTTTGTAAAAATATTTAAATATTTGTAAATAAATTAAGAATTTTTGCAAATTATAAAAAATGAAATAGGATATGTGAATAGGATTTATAAATTAAGAAATTCTACACGTGAATTGTAAAGTTATAACTATAAATGAATAGTAAATATAATTTTAATATATTGCTTATAAAATATGAAATAAAATTAGTAAATCAAGTTTTACTCACAAATTGTGAAGTTATAATTGTAAGTAAATGGTAAATATATTTTCAGTCTAATGTTTATATTTAAAGGGTAATAGCATCTTTTCAACCCAATTTCAAATTATACATAAATTTTAAAGGATTATAGTTTTTGAATTTCACATGATTTATTTTTAAATAAGTTGTTTCCATTGGACCTATTTGTAATTTTTTCAAAAATATATCTATAGGTCTTTATAGCATATTTTAATTTCAACTTTAAATTAAGTCCTACAGTTTATTTGAATTAGGTCTTCATAATTTGAAAAATAATTTTTTAAAAAATAAATAATTCATTATTGATTTTTTCCTACAAAAATTTATACACACACATATAATGAATTAAATTATAAAGGTTTAATTAAAAACAAAATAAACTATAGAAACTTAATTAAAAATTAAAAAAAACTATAAGAACCTGCAAATTAATTAATTTTTCCTAAAATATATAAAATAAAAAATGAACAAATATAAAATTAGGAGTAGCATGGTAAAATATAAACTATTTTTAATAATTATTCTTAATCCTTAAAACAAAAGCCAATGCATATCAACACATATTTCTATGTAAATTGAATTTTATAAGATTTAATCAATAATTGGATCAGATTAAATGCAATTTTTTAATACAGCAAATAGGAAGAAATCCCGGTGGTGTGGTTTCTTCTCTTTCTTTTTGTCATTTTTATTAGGTTTAGGGTATCTTTGATTGTGTTCTTTCTTTTATTTATTTTTGGTTTGTTGTACTTAATTTGTCGTTTTAAATCCTTCAATTTTAAATGATATTTCATGTTTCTGGCAAAAAAAAAAAAAGGGAAGAATCTCCATTAATATGATTTTTTATTTGTATAGAAGAATTAATTAATGCAGCAAATCACAGCATAAATAAAAGCTAAATCAACGACCTGCGGATAAAATCTTAAAATAACAATATGATATTATCGAAAAAATAATTAGCTGATCGTCCACATAATAAGGAGAGAAAAATGTGCAGCTAACCTGACTTAATATTACAACAACTATATATTTTTTTTCACATCCATTCTTGAATATCTAAATCTGAATCCTAGTTCATCCATTATTCTTAAGTTCTTCTAAAGCCACCGCCTTCAACTCGTAGCCCTCCGGTCTCCGGCAGAAATCCAAGTAATTAAGCTTCATTCTGTAAAACTTCTCCGATATCCTCTTCTGTAATTTCCACTCATCCAGCGAAGCGACGACGTACGGCATGGCAAAAGTAGAGCCTAGACAACGAGGTAGTGATAGGATTAGCAGCTTACCAGACCCTCTGCTTCATCACATCCTCTCTTTTCTTCCCATAAAAGAAGCCATATCCAAGAGCTTGATCTTGTCCAAGAGGTGGAGAGAGCTAGGGCTATCAATGCCCGCTCTTGACATTCACGACACTGGATTTTCTAGACCTGATGGCTTCATTCAATTTGTAGATGCAGTCTTGTTTTTGTCAGATCCCAAACCGATAAACATGTTTCGTCTCAAGTGTGAGAAACTCAAGGTGCCTCTTATCAGGATTAATATGTGGATTAACTCACTGATAAATCGTAAGGTCGAGCATCTGGAGCTATGTTTTTCATATTTAAATTCCCCTAGTCACGTTGATGTGCCTGCTTGCATTTTCCATAGCAGTACCATTAAGGTTTTAAAGTTGGCTCATGTTATGCTGAATGTTCGATATGTTAATTTGCCTTCACTCAAAGTATTGCATCTGGTGAAAGTTCAATTTTCAAATCCTGAATCTGCCATTAATATTCTTAATGGGTGTGCTCTTCTTGAAGACTTGGTGTTAAAATCTTGGTCTACTAATAGATCCGTCCTCAGAATTGGAAGGCTTGAACATTTGGTGTCAGCAAAAGTTCATAATCCATCTTGGATTCAGTTGAAAGCTTTTAGTAATGTTAGGCTTCTTCAGATTGCTGATGAGGTACTAATAATGATTTATATTGTAGTGATTTTTCATTATCAAAATTGATGATATCCATAAAATTTTATTTGTTTGTTTCTTTTTCCTAATGCAGATGGGGTGTATACTACCTATGTCTGATATTCCAACATTTTATAATTTAACTCACCTGGAAATCTTATGGCTAATTGATGATGGGAATAACTTTTTGGGATGTCTTGGAAATTTCCCAAAACTTGAAATTCTGACTATTCATAAGGTTTGTTCATTTTAACTTAATTCATGTTCACACCACTTTTAGCTAGTTTTCTAACTGATATGTGTATTATGTTTCGTTAGCTGGATTTTAAGAGAAGCTTGAAGGATCATTCAATGCTTGATGTTCCTCAATGTCTTTCAACGCATCTTAGGAAATTTTATCTCGGTGAATATAGAGGATCGGAATGTGAGTTTGAAGTTGCAGCATTTATTATGAAGAACGCAAGTGTTTTGAGGGACATCTCCATTTGCAGTTCTAAAAAGGAAAATGAAAATTCGAAACTCCAAATGATCACAAGATTATCATCATGTCCTAGACGTTCTGTGAATTGCAGGCTTTTGTTCCATTAATTTTCTGAAATTTATAGCAAATGTTCGTTAGTCATGTTTTTCTTTCTTTATTTTATTTTGGCTGATTTCCCATCCGACTATCTTGGCAATATTTTACGTTGTACATCATTATCATCTTAGAAACATATTTATCATATTTCAGGGCACTTCATGGAGTTTGTTTCAGTTGTGCTTCTGCTTGATGTGAGAAGATATTCTTTATCTTTGGGCTGTGCAGATTTCTAACTTTTGTTTAGCTCATATGATATATTTCCTCCTGTTCAAAACATCGTTTTCCAACTAAACTTGGTTCATAATAGAGGACATTCGATATTTTTTGAATTTTTTTCCCAAATTTACCCATGTATTAATTAATGTGAGCATGAGACATATATTTTGATTAATTATACTTCTTCTTACTTTTTCTAATAATGATGAATTGGATTTAGTACTAAAGCTTCTTCATATATTGTATGGAGAACTTGTTGAACCTTTGATAGATTATGGAAATTAACTAAATTGTAAATGAATAGCTGGTTACTATCTCTCATATAATTTGTCTTTATCACTTTTAATTTTCTTATATACCAAGCAAGTATTTAGACTAAACAAATTGCATCTTATGGAATCCTTATTTCTAGCTATTTACTTTTCCGTTCTCATTTTTTTTTTCAATTTTATAACTGATGGCTCTTAAAACTATTATTCAATAATTATATATTCAAAGATTAAATATAAAAATTATTTTTTATTTATGTTTTTTAATTTTCTTTCATTCTATTAATATGTAATGGCTTTACAAAAAAAAAAATTAGGTATGTTTGGTTGGAGTGGAAGGGAGGAAGGGGGGAGGCATTTGCTTCCTTCTCCTTGTTTTGGTTCAAAAGGATGGAGGAAAGGTATTCTCATCCTCTTGTTTGGTTAAAACAAAATTGAGGGGAGAAAAAAAAAGGTAGCGTTTGCATTAATGAATTTAGATTTAAAATCTCGAATTCAAAATTCTTTGTTTGGATAATTTAAAAAAATTCAAGAAGAGAGAGATACGTTGGTATTCAAAAAATAAAAATAAAAATTTGAAAGTGATGAGCTTGCCAATATTTTTCAATTAACGGGAGATAAGAGAACATACAAGAGTCATAAAGATATCAATAGTAAAAATACAAAGAAAATGATGTGTTTGAAGTGATTGAAATTTCAAATAATTAGGTATTAAAGGAATTTTGAATTAAAAAGAAAATAAAAAAAGAAATGGATTTGAGTCCAATCTAAAATCATATCTTATTAATTCAAACACACCATATGAATTTCCTTCCTGACACTCTCTTCCATATTGAAGGGATTTGGATTTGGATTAAGGATTATAAAATCCATCCCCTTCATATAATACCTTCTCTTTCCTTTCTTCCAAAAAAATTTTCTTGCCTCCCCCTTTTTTTTTAATTGAACCAAACACTATGTTAAAAGTTGGCTTTTCTTTGCCTATATAAGAACATCATTGTTACGTAGCAATGATTTCAAAATCAGACTTAATGGTCCAACTAGTTGGACTGCTGGCTGATCACTCTAATAACTTAATTTGAACCATCTAGCAATTTTAGCTAGTGGACCACTGCTGACAAGTGGTTGGACCACAACCGCAAAAAATCTTGAAATAGTGGTTGAATTAGGTGGCTCCAAATTTCATATTTTCAAGTTACATAGCAATTTCATTTTTTTTTTCTTATATTTATATTATTACACACACTTGCATATTAATTTAATTACATATATATGTATATATAAACTAATTATTATTAAAACCGTGAGCAACTAGCCTTTATGGTTTAATGTCCATTCTAGTTCTGAAAATATTGTTAGGTAGTTTATAACTATTTTTGTAACTGTTGTTTAACTTATAAGGTGAAATATGCTCCAATGTATGAGGTGGGATCCTCCCACCCACCCACAATGTATATATGTTTTTGTCGATGTTCTATCTATCTTTTGACTTTTTGCGATAAAACTAAAGTCAAAGCTTTTCCTTTAAAAAACCAAAATTGGAACATGTTTGTTGAGAATCCATTAGGAATACATGCCATTATCCAATCTGATTGGTAGGGGATTATTGGCCATTAATTTGAAGCCTGAGTGAATGTTGAGCACTTCGTGTGATATGAATTATGGATGTATAGAGCACTCACCTCTTGCTTCATTGGATCATTGTCCCAATATTATGCGGTTCTCCTATCCATCTTTGATTGAAAAGAAGGTTTCAGGATGGTTGCAATTCTAGTGTTTTATGATCTCATTTATCATTTTGGTCAGTGTTTCAGATCTTCTCAAAACATATCATTTTTTGTATATGACTTTTTGACTGTATCGTATTTAAGCATTATTAGGCTCAATTAAGAATAGTTTTAGAGCAATCAATACATTCCATCAAACTACCCTTCAGGCTCTGTAAAAATTGAGGGCTGGCCTTAAAAATTAGGAGATTTTGATATACAAGAGGGTTGTTAGGCCCTCTTCTTATAAACTACTCAAAAACAAGCTCAAACTCAAGCTTGGACTATCTCATAAGCCCATATAATTTTGTTTTAAACTTTTAGTTGAAGAAACAAAAAGTTGGGTTTAATTAAAAGGGCTAATATCTTATAATATGGCAAACTAATATTTGAACTTTTGCAAGAAGAGATGTCTACACTTAATTCTCAACAATACCTTAAATTTGATTGCCTTTAATAGGAAGATAATTGTAGTTAACCTAAAAAAAAAAAAACCATAACTTTGAAGACTAAAAAATATTATGCTTTATATTATATTTTAGGGTTTATATTATTTTGTTTACACTTCGAAGCTTATTCTTAAGGTACTTTAACTTTATATATGTCTTAAAATAAGAAAAGAATGATACTGGCTTTTAGGTCCATCCCTGAGTCATGTCAATAAATGTCAAACTTGAGAAAAATATTAATTTAGTGCAAACAACTTTTTTGAACCCATAGGGGTCAGGCTAATCCTTATTAATAATTCAAGATTTTTTGCATTCACATGAACTCCTAAAATTTGTGTTTTAAGTGACCACAGCTATTTCTACAAGCTGCCATGAACTGCAAGGGGTAACATGCAAGCCGTTGGGACAGAGGTTCATCCCTATCTCTTTTTACCTTTGAAATAAAAGATAAAATGTTTGAAGAGAAATGAACCGGGGGAGAAAAAAACATTCTGTGAGGATGTTGAATTCTACATTGTATGTATCGCTTAAATGGCTGGCTTCACACTTTCTCTATATTTATTTTTTGTTACGAGCTTATCATAACTAAAACACATTTAATTTCTATGCATTCCATAAAATCAGTGAGGTAGATTTTATTAATTACATTGAATAATATTGACATATATAACAGTATGGAAATAATAAAAAAATCATATAATATTTTAATATTAAAAGCAGTATCAGCCAAATTTGAAAATAATAATAAAGTTTCCATCTACGAATAATCAAAAATTGATGAAATTTTAAAATGTTATATCCTTTATATTGTAGATTTTTGCCTTTTTAGGGTTGGCCGCCATATTTTTTGGACGGGGACAGCCACTTTCCCATGGTTAATTGGCCATTTACTTTGTTAATTTCCTTTTGAATATTATTTTTCTCCTTTTCTTTGACAGAATCTTTTCCTAGATTTTCATGCGTGGATTCCGGATCCACTGATTGCTACTATTTCTGATTAATATTGTTATTCTTTAAAGAGGAAATAGAGATCTTAATGTTCGGAAAATCATGGGGCAACATTTGCCACCAACCTCTTTTAAAACAATAAGAAAATTATGACAGTTTTTTTTGAACCATACTAAGGCCTCGTTTGGTATGATAAAAGAATTTTTGATGAAAATCAGAATTGAATCAAAATTAAAATTGGAATAAAATTGAATTTAAAAAAAGTATTTGGTACGAAGATGAAATCCTTGATATAATTTTAATAAAAATATATACTTAAAATTTGAAAAGACCAAATTGCCCTTTTCAAGATTAATGGTCTTCTTTTCACCCTCGACGCTATAGCTCTTCTCCACCTAGTATCCCACTGCAACAGTAGCTTCTCAAGAATTTTGAGTGATGTAGGGATAAAGCACCCATCGCACACAGATGAAGAATGCCACATCATTGCCGGACAATTTGATCGCAAATTCCCCACAAGCACCTTGCTGAGTGTTCTTAACCATGGACGCCAAGTCTTCTGCCTCGGAGCCAAAGTTCGCAAAGAAAGCTTGAAACCTGGTTAGTGCTTTCAAATCCTGAGGATTGTTGTCCCAAGCACTTAGCTAGCCTTCGATTTTGCAACCACCAAAATCGCTGACCCTAATGAACGTTTGACAACTCTAGCTCTTGATTTCACGGCTCATATTGAATCATCTATGGATGCTTGTAGTGGTGGCCATGAAGGTTCGATTCATGAAGGGGGCAACGGCGCTAGGGATTATGTGGGGTGTGTGCAGGCAGTAGGCAGAATGATACTGAGGGCCAAAATGTCCAGGAGATGATTCCATGACAATTCTATCGTGCTTGTGATGGAATCCAATTCTAGCCATTTTGTTGGAATACTGATTCTGAGAATCCAAATTCTATCATACCAAACATGTTGAAAACTAGATTTGTGTCAATTTCATTTTCACAAGTAGAATTCTTACATACCAAACAGGGCCTAAATTTTTTTCCGAAGGTTGTTACAAACTATAAAAAATTTCAGTAAATCTCTATTAATATATGTGTATATATATTCTTAATTATAAAAATCAAGTAATTGCAAAAAGTAAAAGAAAACATATATAATTACCAATGAATAATAAGGGTTTTGTTTTTGAAACAAGTAGGTTAAATTCTCAATCTTGATGTATTTCTCGAAATCATAATAGAAGACATCTTTTAAAATTCTTGCTTAGTTTAAAATATAGGGTATTAAGTAACTTTATAATTATTTTTTTAACTATACCCCTATTTCATTATTACTCTTTTTTTTTTTAAATAATATATTGAAATTTTAATTATTATCATTAAAGAATTTATATGGAGTATTTAATGATAGTAAAATTGAAAA